GAAATACAATGGGGACATATGAACAGTTAATTAAAGCACTGGATATGGATCACAGAGCAAAAGAGGCACATGAGTTTTGGAACAAGAAAATCGGTTCTGATCTGCATTCTGTGCCCTGGCGGTTATGTAGTCTTATGATTTCTGTATATTATCGTAATCATATGCTTGAGGATCTTATTAAGCTATTCAAAGGCTTAGAAGCATTTGATCGGAAACCTCCTGATAAGTCCATTGTACAGAAAGTAGCTGATACATATGAGGTGCAAGGCTATCTTGATCAGAAGGATCGCTTACTAGAGAAGTACAAAGACTTGTTTACAGAGACATGGAATGGAAGTCCAAAGGGATTGAGAGGATCTCGACCCCAAAGAAAAGAAAAACAGGCACAGGAAGATTAAGGGTTATATCAAATATGTTAGTATGCAGGTGTTCGATATCAGGTTTATCAATCTACTCAATATTTTTCAGAGATCTTATCTTGGTGCAGTTGAAAATTGTTTGTTACACTGCCAAGAATCAAGCAAACCCCTCTGCTGGGAGCCTGTGCGACCATGCATTTGCCCGGTGTAAGTTTAGTTGAAACTTTTAGATACTATTCAGATCAAACTGCTATGCTTTTATATAGTTTTAGCATGTTATGGTGCTTGTCTTTGGAGCTAGAAGATGCGATTGAAACATTTACGTAAACAAAAAACAAACAGAATGGTGTTCATGTTTTGAGATTGATGAAATTCCAGTTCTTGATTATACTAATAATTTATTTACTTTTTGCTCAGCCAAGTCTTATACAAAATCAAATTAAATACAACAACTTTGACGTCTGTCACCTATAAGATTAGAAAATTCTTGATATATATATACATACTGGAAATTCAATTTAGTTTTAGGATTCCGTTAAGCTTTATAAAGATATAAGGCGCTATTTTAGGATTTCATTTCTAGTATTATGGCTAAAATGAACTCCTACTTCTATCATCTCTTTCAAATTTATTCCAATATCTTCTTGACATTTCTCCGTACACACTCCCCTTTTTAAATTCAAAAAAAAAAAAAGAAAAAAAAAAGAGAAATCTCGAACTTAAATGAATAATTTGTTCCGATCTTTCTTCTTGATGATAAATCATCATCAATTTGTATAGTTTATATACCCCAAACCTTCTAATTATTGTACCATTTCTTTCTTTCTAATAGAGGGGACGGAACAAGAGTGGTCCACATGATAGTCATATTATAGTCGTAAATTCTGTTGCAATAAAATTACGTAGTGTTTATTTATCTTCTATAAGGGGTAATTTTATGGGTTTTACTTGGTATCATTCATAGTGTTGTATTGCATGATTTCATTTCGTTGCTTTTTTTTCCCCATGTTGCCATATGGGGGTGGGGTGGACATAGGATTGTAAAAAAAAATCCTATCAACTTGTTTCTATCTAAGGTAATATGATCATAAGCTTGTTTTACTTCATCGTCAAGAAAGGAAAGAGGACTAGTGAAGCACAGGGGCGATTTGATGCCCTTTAAAAATGAGGCATTTGACTTAGGCCCTCAAATTTGAGGGACCTCATTTTTCAGTAATAATAGAATTATTTTAAGCATTTTTAAAAAATAAATAAATTATATTGTATCTTTCAAGTAATTTATCTTGCTTTTCTTAGTTTGTTTCGTGACATTAAAGAATGTTTCTTTCTTTTTTGTCAATTTTTAAATTTAACTTTCCACACGACATGTTTAAGACCACAAGATCAAAAAACATTTATATATATATATATATATATATATATAACTTTTTTATTAATAAATAAATTTGTATCTTAAAAAGAATTTTAAATATACTAACAGAATTCTGCATCTTAAAAAATCTAAAAGAATAGTTTTCAAGACATAAAAAAATATAAGAAATAAAAGTTTAAAGGTTTGATGTATTTTTTATTTTAAGGCACTTATTAGCTTTAGTCATCCTAATGAAAGGAGTGTCAAATCAAAATATAAAACCGTTGGAGCTATACCTCATGTGGTAAAGAGATATTAGACAAAGAGTGGAAAAATAATCTTTTGTATATAATAATAACTGCAAATAAGTTTTGGATTATTTCCATAATGAAATGAAGAAAATTGCGCAATATTGAATAATTACGCAATAATTGACTTTTGTAACGTTAGTTCGTCCTTGTAGAATTGTGACCTAATGTCCCATTTGTTGTAGCACGTGTGACGCTCAAGACATATTGAACATGATGACTTGACATCATTCTCACCTTTCTCTCACTATTAATTTGAAGAACCGTTATAAAAATATGCTAGAGCTAATAATTTTTATCAAAAAAACATTCCTCTAATGAATTTCCTAAGGTCGAGTGGAATATGATAATTACTTTTTATGAGAGATGACTAGAACATTATAAGAAACTAAGCAAACAATGCATTTATGGATATTTAAACTCGAATATGAAGGAAACACAAAATATTTGATAGAAGGACTGGGAATCCTTTTAAATAACCATCAACTTGATATTTTTGTATTTATCTCCACAAAGAAGAGTTTTGAATTTTTAAAGACGATGTGATCAGAACCTAAATAATGATTTACCCTACATGTTCAATCGATCAACTGCTGTGCCTCAAAAGAATTTTAATGAGAACTAGCAGTTGATGCACTACTCCTTTCAAACCTTTGGTGAAATGTTATAAAAGAAAAGGAAGAAAAAATTTATGAATCGATCCATATTTTAGGCATTAAGTTAGTATAGCTTACTTCAAAATATTTGTAACATTCTTTTTATATAAACTTGTTTATTCTTCTTAAATTTTTTTTTTTTGAGTTTTCATTGAATATTCTCTTTTAACTTTTATTCCAATGGACTTAATATCTTTTACAAAGAATCGGAGGAATATGCGGTGATTTTTTCTTGAAAATCTCCAACGAAAAGTACTAATTATTCCTTTTCTATTGAATTGATCATAATCACTACCTAATAACTATCTACATTTCAGAAAAAAATTGCACCACAAATAAGATAAAATGAAGAGACTTGCAATTTCGTTGAAAGACATCACAATTCATTGTGAAAAAGAATTTATTGAGGCGGAAAAAAATATATCAAATTTCTTGGGATCAATTAAGATCGTTTCAAATTGGAAATAATCTTTTATTTTTATCATGTTTTTCTAGTATATGCATACAAAATGTATTTGGGATTATGAAAAGAATCCTTTTGCTTACGATCAAATTTATAGATCAATCTACAATATTATCAAGGATAATTTGGATTGATCACAACAAATAAATATAGCAAATACATGAAATTACATGTAATATCCCATAGAATGAAATTGATATTCACATATATCAAGATAATATTGTAGATTGATCTATAGATCCAAATTAAATGCAACATTTATCTTTATTTTATTCCAGGAGGGAACTTTAAAACTACAATCTAATTTCTACATAGTATGGTAGAGAGAAATAGATGAATCTTTTTGCCATAAAATATTTATTATAATATTGCCGATTCCAATCCACTCATTTCATTTAAAATATGAAATTAGATTTGTTTTTATTTTATTTCATCTACAAATTTGATATAATCAATGTGTCTTCTACTTATTTATTTTTAAATATGATATAAATTATTCAAGATATATATACCAGGCACAATCTACTAATTAGTCTATTTATTTTAAATACCACATGTATTACTTTTAGGCACGATATACAATGTATATGTTTGGCTCAAACGTTCGATAAAAGCTTATTAGAATTAAAATATTTATTAAATACACCAAATATATTATTATTATAAAAATAACTATGATTTTAATAGTTTAATTATATATGTATAACAGCTAACAATTAAACCACTTTATATGCTTGAAATAATATATCATCTAGTATAAAAATCTGTAATGTTTATTTTTTACATTGCATTGTTACGTGACTTTCTATAGCTAAAATTGCTGGTAACTAAATACACCCTCGATCATCTTCGATCTGCCACATGACATAACAAATAGTCTCAAACTCTTGTAAGGGCATGCGGCAATTTGACGAGAATTTAGGAGTGTATTTACTCATGTTGCAAGATTGGGAGTGTATTTAAGTTCAATTACTCAAGTAAAGAGGTGTTTTTAAGGCTATCAATAATTTGAGGATGAAACTAATAATTCACAACTAGTTTAATACTTCTCTGTTATTTTTTATTTTTTATTTTTTAATTTATAAAATGGACTAAAGAAAGTGATTTACCTAGACCAAGTTTGAGGTAGCAAATTAATTATTTTAAACATTTAAGAAATCAGTTTAGATTCTTAAACGTGTCATTATGTTGCGTAATTTTCTAAAATCTTTTTTCTAATTTTACTCCCAAACCATACACTTGCCATTTTACTAGCTAGACAAAAAACTCCATTTCAACATTTCTCCTTAATATATAAACAAAATAATAACAACACAAACAAAAAAAAAAAACTCTTGCATCACTCTCTCTCACTCACTATCAAACAAGAATAATAGAAGCCACTTATTTTTAATAAAAATATTACTTTTTTCTCATAAACAAAAAAAAAAAAACATTTCATGTAGTGGGGTTTTAGATTTTTCATAATATATGTATATATATTGAAAGCTTCTTATTTTTTGTTTGAAAATCATTCTTAAGGTTCTTCATGACATGAAGGATCCTTGAGAGTTTTTTTTTCTTTTTATATTTTGGAGTGATGTATGTTTTTTTGGCTTGATTTTTTAGATTTCCTTTTCTTTTGGTTTTTTAAAGAGAAAAAAATTGAAGTTAGCGACTAATTCCGTCACTAAATTGTGTATAGCTAATATTATTTTATTGATAATATATTACTAATCCATCGCTGTCGCTATATAGAATTAGTGACATATTTTATTATTTTAGGTACTAAATTTATCTGTCGCTAAATTTTTTTGTCAATAGTGTTTACACAAACATGTAAAGAGGTCCTTATTTTTTTTAAAATTATTTTTTATTATTATTATGGTGGCGAATGGAGAGGCTATTGATGAGTGGGATTATCAATTATTTGATGAAAATGTTGTAAATAGAAGTTTTTCCAAGCGTAGCATTGCCCAACGCCGGGAAGAAAAACGTGGTTTCAATGCTTCCGGCATAAGTACTCCGGCGATGTCACCGCCACCGGATAGGGAAGCTTTTCTCACAATACCGCCGGGACTAACTCCAACAGCATTGCTTGACTCTCCGGTTATGCTTCCGAATTCACAGGTATTTTATAGATATTTGTGTAGTTATAAATCATTTCAGTACCATTTTTTTGAATGGACTAACAAAAAATAGTGTCACATCATAAATTGGAACGGAAAGAGTAATTTACTCTCTTTCAATATTTTTCTTCTTTAACAAAAATTCTCGAATGTGAATGTTGTCATGATTTTGTGATATTGTTTTTTTATATATTTGTCCAAAGAGTTGCATGTTAAGTGATGTTTGTTAATTAATGGGAAAATGCATAAGTACCCCCCAGCCTATGCTCGAAATCCCAGAGACACACCTAACCTTTACTAAGGTCCTATTACCCCCCTGAACTTATTTTTTTATTAATTTTTTACCACCTTTTGGCCTACGTGGCAATATAAATCAGATAGGCTGAAAGATTTGTTCAACACGCGCTGGGCCCACTTTTTCAACTTTCTAAAAAGTATAAGCTATCAGTTCAAAATAACTTTTACACTTCCAAAAATTCAAAAAAGCTATCACTTTTTCAACTTTCCCAAAAGTAAAACTATCACTTTAAGTCGGGGTAATTTGCAACTTAAACTGGCTATCCACAACGATAGTCTGTTTTACCCTTGCTGCTTTCGATTGGAGGCTGCAAGGAATAGATTACACTATCACGTGTACAGAGATCTACAGATCAACACAGAGATAGGAGATGATGGATCCTGCTCTCCTTTTGGTTCTTGGACTCACTTTCCACTTCTCTACAAGAACTTTCTTTATATTTGTGCAGCTCGTAATCACCGTGGCTACTCCAGCAGCGGTGATACCAGGGCAATAGACCATGTGGCTAGTTTCCAACAAGGTACACCTATTAGCAATATAACTTAACCCTACATTTGTTATTTGACGACAGTGAGACAACACAATATCCCTCAGCAAGGGACATCCTTCACCTAGCTCCATACACAACTTATTCAACTCGAATTTTGTCATAACCCTAATATTTATACATAAAAATTGTGAAAGAAATTTAAAATCAGAACTAACAATCGAAATAAAAAGGTGTAAATATAAAGAATCTATTAAAATTTTACTTTACCTTTTTGAAGCAAGAAGAAATTTAACTTGAATGATAATGATAATGGAGGTTTTTTTTTCTAAAGATGAAGAGCAATAAAGAAGAAGAAAACTTAGTTAAAGATGAAGAACAATAAACAACAATAAAGTTTATTTTAACACGTGACCAATTTTTATTGGTCAGTGTTGTCTAAAAATTGCACCCACGCGCCTAACATAGGTGAAGTCACGGACTCAGCCACGTAGGCCAAAAGGTGGTAAAAAATTAATAAAAAAATAAGTTCGAGGGGGTAATAGGACCTTAGTAAAGGTTAAGGTGTGTCTCTGGGATTTCGGGCATAGGTTGGGGGGGTGTTTATGCATTTTCCCTTAATTAATTAACCAAAATTGGATTTTTAATAAGACTTATGTTCAAATGTTCAATTCCTATACACTCACAATTCAAATCACTTTGACAGATCATCTTAAAAATAATTATGTTAGATGCATGTGGATTGTCCGAAAAGATACCAAAACTTGAAAACGACAATTAGGGTTAAAATACATTAAAACATGGACAAACAACATAAATTTCGTTAGTTTATGAGCTAATTATGTGTCCTATTTTTTGATACATATATATTTGTAACGTCACATATATCTCGAATACATGCTAAGAATATACATCTAATTATCTAAGATGACCAGTCAACTCTGAACTCTTCTCTTAAAAAGTCATTCAATTTTAAATTTTAAAGTCAAAAGTCACTCAAGTGTTATTTGCTGATATAATTTTATTTTTTAAACACAATTTCAAAAACTCTAACTTTACTAAATGAACAAATATTACTAGTATAGCCTAAGGAAAACACAATCATCCAAATTCTTTTGGTCTTCTAATCAAAACACATTCAAAAATTCAATCTTTTCACTAATTCTTACCTGAATATTTTCTCCAATAAAATTCAAGAATTTTCAATTTTTTCCTCATTTTTTTGAGTATCAAAAATCTTTTTTTATAAATGAATATAATCTTTAACTCAAATACATGTATATTCTCTGATACATGAAACCTTAACTAAATACATGCATATATTTAGTAAAATACATGTCAACATACATATTTCGACTATATATCATCTCTCCTCATCTCCCATTTGTCTGTCTCTCCTCTTTGGCTAGAGATCAGCGTCACCTCGCTGCTCGTCTCACTCCATCTCCGATAGATATCAAGGAAACACCGGCGAAAAGTGATATCATTATGATCAAGTTTAAACTGACCAAAAAAAGTTTCACAATTTTCTTCCAAGAGAGTTTTAAATTTTATCCCTCTTTTTTTGGAAAAGCTTATTGTCTTATTTCTTTGCAAACTTGAAACAATTGCAGATTTTTAAAACTTCTATTTTCATTTTAGTTTTTGGGTGGATAAGGCAGAGGAGGAAAAGTGTCTTATAAGAAACAATTTATTTTAAGACTTTCATTTTCATTATGCACAATATTTGAAATCACAAACATTGCAATTTTTATTTTATTCTTTTCCAAAATTTAAAATAAAAGGTATGCGTGTTATGAAACTATTAAAACAAGAAGAAGAAAATAGTAGGGAGAAGCGAGATAACTTCTTATTCCTCTTAAAGGATATTCATAGATTGAGGGATTCAATGATTCTTTACTATGAGGGTAACCCCTCTATTTATTTCCTTACTAGGATTCCTAACTTTTCTCCAAAGACATCTGCATAATAGACATTTATTATAGTACAAATATGTTTATAACACTCCCTCTTGAATGTTTTTTTGATAAATTATGTACCTCATTAAAATTTTAGTAGAAAAAAACCAATAAAAAAAATTCTAGTGGAGAAAAAACAATATACATATAAAATAATACATATATTTTTAAATGCCCCATTAACAACCTTAGTAGAAAAATTTATTGGGATAAAATTTTAGTGAGGAAAAAGAGTACACCGTATATTAACTCTCGTCCGGATGTATGAAAAAAGGGAAGAATCAATCACATTGCCTAGAGAATCATAAAGGGGGTCCCAATAATTACAAGCCCATGAGAAATAAGAACTACAAGCACAAATATAAGTTTGATTGCCAAAAAGACGACAAAATAAATGTGCTTTAACCTAGCTAGAGCCTAGATGCCCTAGCTATCAAAAAGCTTCACCAAAGAGGGGTAAATGTAGCCTCCCACCACACAAGTATGAACACACTGGTATTATGATGCTTCAATTTCAGCTAGATTTTGAATCTTCACATTTCAAGTTTATACAACATCTTCTTAAAAGTTGTAATTGGTAGAGATTTTGTGAATAAATCAATCATATAGTCACTCAAACGAGTTTATTGCACATTGATATCATCATTCTTTAAAGCTCATGTTTGTAGAATTTTTTTGGCACAATGTACTTCGTTCTATCTCCTTTAATAAATTCTCCCTTCAGGACCAAATAATTCTGTAAACTCCTCACTTCAACTTCTTTAAGCAAATAATTAATCTATTGCCTTTTGAAAATTCTTCAAGAGTTCAATTCAAGTCATCAACTTGCATAACAATTAAGAAGATTCTTGCTTGATTTAATCCATACGAGAATTATAACAAGTTTTTCAAGAATTTGTATATGTTTCACGCATTTTGAATCCTTCGTAAATTTTCATATCGATTTTGTCCTGTAACAACATTCAATACTAAATGCATGACATCCTTTAGTGTGTAGACTCCAAGTCAAATAAGTTTTATGTTTACCAAGATGCATCATTCCAATTGATAATTATTTCTATGCTAGCATGCTTTAATAGACATAGAATTCAGATCCGCATAATCTTTATAATATTGCCTATATTATATTAAAGATATCATTTTGTATCGATTTATAATGCGATATAACTTATTGAATTTATAAGATTTCATGAAATGTTATGTCGTAATTCAGATATAACATTTTTGGGTGGGTAAGGCAGGAGAGGGATCATTTTAAGACTTCCCTTTTCATAATGCTTTAATATTTGAAATCACAAACATTGCAACTTTTATTTTATCCTTTTCCAATTTTAAAATAAGAATTATGAGAAAATTGAAACAATAACATTTTGGGTGATGATAGAGGTGGAAGGATTAAGAGAGAAGGTGAGCTGATTTGGAGTGAAAAAAATAAATTAAGATGATAGTTAAGTAGGGCTCTATTTTAAGCTATTTTTAAGGATTATAGTTATACAATAGAATAACAACTCATCTTAATATTTTTGTTCTTTTTAAAAAAAAATCTAATTAATTAATTAGGTCCATGGATAGTGGTGGAGTTACAACAACTTACTTGCAACTCCAATTCCTTTATAAAGCTTGAATTTTTATTATTTGCAATTAATTAATTAATCCTTGTTGCTTTTTTTGGTTAATTAGGCACTACAATCTCCTACTACTGGAAGCTTTCAACAGTTCCCCATTATCATTAATCAAGAAAACTCAATGTCCACTTCTCCTCATGTGGTCATCAATGCTAATTGTCCAATCAACACTAATAATGTTATTGATCATCATCATCATCATCCCCTCTTATTCCCATCTTCATCAAACACTCAGGTAATTTTTAATTACTTCATCCGTCCATCTTTACTAGTCCATTAGACTATTTTGGAATGTCCAACAATACTTGTACAATTTATAAAATCAATGAATAATTTACCAGTTCTTGTCTATTTTACCCTTACTATTAAATATTATTTATTTTTCAATGTTTAGATGAGTTATATTTAATAAGGGTGATTTGATAAAATTACCACTATTATTTTCTTAATCACTGTATTAAATCAATAATAGACCATTATTGCTGAGCAGAAAGAGAGTATCAATTGATTAGTTTGTCATTTTATTTAATTACAACATGATTATACCAACCACAGGACATGTTCTACCTCATTTGACATTGTTTCTTAATGATTCCATGACTCTATCTAACTGTTCTGTTGCATATAGGGGTGGCTATGCTATTAAAACCTCTATGCAATATCTATTTTACTTTGATATTTTCGATCATCTATCTATATAATATATTTTTTTATAGTATATTTATTGTTTATTTTGTCAACTAAGATGTTTATAGGTTTTTATTTAAGTTAATTATAAATAGAATAATTCTTTGATGAATTTGTCACAAAATCTAATGCTACTATTTTTTATAGGCTAAATACATACACATCCTTATTTTGGTACTCTATCTTAACTTTGTTCTATTTTAAGTCTTCAATCCCATTTATATGTACTATTTAAACACAAAATGCTATTTTTTAAATAATTTTTATTTGTGTTATTCAACTGCAGTTTTGCATTTTAAATATCGACGTCTCTTCGTTAATTTTGATATAACAAAAAAAAAGAAGTGAAGGACGAATATTTATTTATTTTTAAAATATAATAATTTCTTTTTGAGAGTTTCTCTCTATTTTTTCTTGAAAAATAACTGACGAAAGTGCATCGATTTTCTTTCTTAAAAAACTCATTGACAACCCGATAAAGTCTGACTAGTTTTAACATTTTTTAATATTATTATTAGCAATGAACAAGAGTCGTCTTTTTATCCACATTGAATTGAATATAAAATTTAAAAATGAGTATTTGATTAAATCCAGATAACCCGGATAATATGAAAATATAAAATATGTGGTGTTATTTAAAGGTCTATAGATCGATCTTGAGAAAATGTTATTTAAACTTTCAATTTTAAAGATCGATGTTCGTCCCTCAAGTTAGAGGAGTTGTCTATATATTTGACCTTTTTATAAATGTTATTTTAAAAGTACATGTATTAATTATGTATATATGTATTGTACATGAATGTGTGTTTATTTAAGGGGCAAACTTACACACAATCCCTTTACTTGCCCTTATTTTTATTTTGGCACTTTATTTTAGCCTTATTTCATTTTAACCTTATAATTCTATTTTTTTTTTATGTATCATTCAAACACAAAATATTATTTTTATGTTTTTATTTATTTATGTTCTTCATTTATAGTTTTCATTTTAGAAATCGACGTTTGTTCGTTAGTTTCGTTAAAAGAAATTTAAAAATTAACGGATGAAAATTATTTTTTTTTTAAAATAATAATTATTTTGAGAGTTACTCTATATTTTGCGTAAAAAATAACTGACGAATGTGTGTCCATTTTATTTTTTAAATAATCAATTAAATTAAATTATATCACGTAATTTTTTTTCCATATCGAAGCTATCTGGATTTAACTCAAATACTAGCTTTCTAATTTTTAATTCAACTCAATAAGGGTAAAAAGTACCCATCTTCAATACGAGTAAAAAAAGACTCTTGTTCATTGATCATAACACTACTATAAAGACGCTAAAACTCGATAGACTTTGTTGGGCTGTCATTGATTTTTTAAAGAAAAAACTTTGTTGGGTTGTCATTGATTTTTCACGTAAAAGTATAGAGAAATTCTAAAAAAGAAATTGTTATTTAAAAAAAAAACAATGTCCGTCCGTCAATTTTTAAAATGCAAAATAGTAGTTGAAGAACATAATTAAAAATAAAGAAATCATAAAATTATTATTTTGTGTTTAAATGTTACATTAAAAATAAAGTTGAGGGTTAAAATTGAACAAGATTAAAATAGATCACCAAAATGAAAAATGAAGACAAATTAGAGAAATTGTGTATGTGTTTGGCCTTATTTAAGTTTCACTTTACTATTATTTATACTGATAAATGAGCTTTGATTTTCATTAAATTAATTGTTTTTATATTAAATAATTAAAGTATTATTACAGACTTGTAGAAATAGATATTCGAATTTTGATTATTATCAATATTCATTTATTTAATTCTCAGTTATTTATTTAGAACGCCCTTAGCTTATATAGTTAATTAGTACCTCTCACTTTTCTTTTCTGTCTCGAATATTTTATATAGATTAATAAAAACTTAAAAAATATCTTAATTTAGAGAAATTTTTAAAAAATGACTAACATTTAAAAATGACAAAGAGGCTAAATGGGGGGGGGGGGGGGGATTTACTGTTCAAAGTTGAAAGGGAGGCTTAATTTTTAAAACAAAGTTAAGGTGTGTAAATGATTTTCACCATTTTCAGATATTGAATTTATGATGTTATTTTTACTTAATTAAAAAATATTGATGTTTCTAGAAAAAAAAAGAGTACAAATATTTATTAAAAAATAAAAGAAATAAAGATTGTCTTCTTTTTATCCATAGAAATATTTTATTACTTGAATTAAACTAATTAAATCCTCATATTGGTAAATAAGGTTTCTTATGATAAGATCCAAAGTAATGTATTACAAACACATATCTTTCTTTAACTTGAATTAACGCTTACTAATATAAATATTTATATCACTATGAGATATTTGTTTTGAACTTAAAAGCTTCCTGGCTTCTAAATATAATATTCCATAAATAATAAGTAAGACAAAAGGGAAATATGACACTAATTTTTGCACCTAAGTGTATATACAAATTTAAAAAAGAATGAAAAACTTTTTAAATTTGTGATGCTAAATAAGTTATAGAATTTTTGTAACTTTTAAAGAATGTCATTAAGGATAAAAAAAATGTGAATTCTAAAGTTAAATCATTTTCGATTATTTATTGAAATTTGTCATTTTTCTTGAAACAAACTAATAAGTAAATAGTATCTCATAAATTAAAGTGAAAAATAATAAAATTAGGTATTTAAAAAATATAATGAATAGTTTGTTGTAGTGCAAACATATTTATGTTAATAATGTAAAAAGTAATATATAATCCGTAAATTGCTCAAACATTTTTTTTTAAAATGCAGATTACATCGAGATATCATGAATTTCCGAAAGTAACTACCTTAAAGAAGTGCAGTTCAGATACATCACCTCCTCTTGACATAAATAATCAACAAAACATGAGTGGTATTAGCTTAACAAATACTACTAAGCTAGAAAATTGCCCTTTAAGAGGTGCAATGAATCCAAATATTACTAATTCAATCGGACCAGATGATGGATATACTTGGAGAAAATATGGTCAGAAATCTGTCAAAGGTAGTGAATTTCCTAGAAGCTACTATAAATGTACTCAACAAAATTGCTTTGTGAAGAAAAAAGTAGAACATTCTCTAAATGGACAAATTACTGAAATTATCTATAAAGGGGAACATAATCATCAGAAATCTCAACCTATTCGACGTGCAACAATAAGTTCAAAGTCCTGTGATTTAACAGGGATATCAAAAAAGAATGAAGGAAATGGTGGCTCAAATATTTATAGGAATATGCAATTTGAAGGCAATAAGAATGTTAGAGCTCTTTCAAGTCTGAAAAGAACATATTCACCATCTATTTTGACAAAGGTTTCTGATTCATTAATATTAAATAATTCAAATATCAATATGAATGTGTTTGAAATACCCGAAACTATTCATGAGCCTTCTTCTACACTTGTAAGTTGTGATGATGAAGATGAAGATGAAGTTAGAGCCACGGAAGGGATCATTTCCCTAGGTGATGATATTGATGATAATGAATTTGAACACAAAAGGAGGTACTTTTTTATCTATCATTGTCCTTATATCCTTTTCTTCATTTGACAATGTATTTAACTTATATACACAAATAACATTATAAAAAGTTAATGTATTTTAAAATGATGTAATATAATTTATCTTATTTAAGGAATTGCTGATCTTATTTTATCGATAGTTATCATTTAGGAAATGTCAATGTATAGTTATTATAATATCAAGTGTTTAAATTTTTATACACCGTGTAAAAATCACTTGTAAGTTTTTATATCTACACTTTGGTGATAGAAACTCTAGTAGATCAAGTGCTTTTGAAGAGGTCTTTAGTATGGTTATTATACAATTTTCAAATTAAATTTTGATCTATTTATATTTTTAATTTATGTTAACTTTTTAGTTTGTTGTGAAATTGATGCTTTGTTTTAGGAAAAGAGACTATTGTATGATTACTATACAATTTTCTAATTAAATTTTAATACACTTATATTTTTAATTTATGTTAATTTTTTAGTTTGTTGGGAAATTGATGCTTTGTTTTAGGAGAAGAGACTATTACCCAACTGAAATGAATTTATCGTCGAGAACAACAAGAGAACCAAGAGTGATAGTCCAAATAGAGAGTGAGATTGATATTCTTGATGATGGTTATCGCTGGAGAAAATATGGCCAAAAAGTTGTGAAAGGAAATCCAAATCCTAGGTATGTATTTTTGTACATACATAATTATGCTTAGTTTTGTTATATTATCAATATATAACTTAATTTATTTTTAATACTATGTTGTATAGGAGCTATTACAAATGTACAAGTGCAGGTTGTCCAGTAAGAAAACAGATAGAAAGGGCACCCGATAACATTAAATCAGTCATCACAACATATGAAGGAAAACATAATCATGAAGTGCCTTCAATAAACAAGACAAATGGTGTTGCGACAACTGCTACTGTTGGAAACCAAACTTCACCTTTAATTTCAAATGGGAAATCTTCTATATTGACATTTTCAAAAATCCATGAAGTTTCCAATCTTGAAACACAAGTACAAGATTTTAACTTCCAATTTGAAGGAAAGCCCTTTGGATATACAAGACCAAATTTTCTTGAAAATCAACTTAATGACCTGAGATGTGGAGTTGTTTCACCCCTCTATGACTTGAGATTCCCACCTAATTTACAAAACCTTCTATCCTGTAATTCATTTCTCTTTATTCCTACACAAATATCAAATTCATTCCCGTATACTCTACACATGCCTGATTTTTCATTGCCTAATCTTTCTATTGGCCCCAATAAAGTACCTCCTCTTGATGAATTTCATTTTAATGATTTCCAATAAACACCAAATGGTGCATAATCGCAGATCTCTTGCAATAGGAAATCAAAAGCTTATTCACGAGATCAACAATAACCATCTCTTGCAATAGGAAACAAAAGCTTATTCAAGAGATCAACAATAACAATAGAAATTCAAGAATGAAACATCTATTGCATTGTTCAGACATGTTATGGAGAATTTTTCACCCTAGAAGTGTCCCGAAATTTCATTAGTCTATTGCACCTCCGAAATAATGTAAGAGTGGAATGTGAAAAAGGAGAAAAAGGGAATGGAAGATGGGAAGGGTTGAAAATAACATGATAGTCTCAACATTGTTTTTGGCTTCTTACATGTATCTATCTCATTAAAAATATTCCACGAACTGACTTTTATATCTTTATGTTTTTTACTCATTTCAAACTTACTTAATTGGTGATGAACTCCATATTGGAATAAAATCTTTTTTATTTTTATTTTTATTTTTTATATCTCATATTTTTTCCTCCGTCTAAAAAACTCTTCACTAATTTTGACCTTAGAAAATATTTTAATTGCGGTTAGTAATTTTCACTATCTTAGAGAACATATTTTGTATCCGTGGTGGCATTATTTGTAGCCTTTGCATTAGTAGTACTTAATGATTCAAACGTAATGTATGAGGCGGCAGATTGTGACAAAATTGATATTTTGGGTAAATCAAATTGAATTTTTTTTAAGACTACTTCATGTACCTTGATATCATTTTTGGTAATTGATCTATGAAAATCACCATCAAAAGAAAAATCTCATATAATTTTAAAGAAATTTTGATGTGAATCTTAGTATGTCATGCTCGAAAAATCAACAATGTGATGGGGACCTGCCTCCAATAGACAAACCCTAAAGTCGTTCAACTTCATTTTAATGATTTAAGTGGAAAAATAAAGAAGCATAAGAAATATTTCAAAGATAACTTATAATATAAATGTAGAAGTACCAAAATACACCCCTAAAAACTTGAAGTCAGCAAATACAAGAGCCTCTAAGAATTTTATGAAAGAAGACAATAATTAAACTAAGAGAAAGGCGATAGGTACTACAGACTAAGGTTTTAAAAGGTTGTGATGCAAGGCGAGGCGAGACGTAAGCTTTGAAACATAGTGTATAAATTTCATGAATTTATAGAATGTAGTCTCATGTATTTTTAATTTTATTACTAAAAGATAAACAAACGAAAAAGTTTCAATAACTATGCAAATAACTTCAAATGAATTACCAATAATATAGAAAATATTGTCATATTAACTATTATTTGAGAAAGGTAAAAACACAAAAAATGATAATATTTGAGACAACTTTAATAATGAAATCATCAACCATTACATCATGATCTCAATATTTGCACTGATTATTGATTTCAAAGAAGGAAAAAAATAAAAAGTGTACGCAAAATGACAAAGAAATATGGGAAAATTAGCAAACTAGTCAAAAAATCTAACTTAATTAGTAAAAATCTCCATACTTTATAAATATTAGTAAAAATATCAAAATGCCATTATTTTAGAAAAGATTGTGTATCCTAATTTACTTCCTATTTTATCTCACCTTAATTACACATTTTTCAATTAATCCTCTATTATATGTTTAAAATAAAGGGAATATTTTCTCTCTCTCATATTTTCTTCTTCTTTTTTTATTTTTTTTTGCAACATATTTTCATCTTCCAATTCTTCTCCATTTCAAAACCCGCCTCTCTCTCTTCCTTCTTTTTTGTTTTATTTTTCCAGAAATTGAAAAATATATTTTATAAAGATATTCACACAATCCCTTTTATTAAGGTATGCATCCTTATCCGTTTTTTAAGATTTGTTTTATGAATTTATTTTTGTTTAAATCGTTCAAAATTGTTGTATGTAGTTGAAATCACGTTTAGGGTTTAATAAACTCTAAATCACTCTCCAATGGCAGAATCTAAGAGAATTACTAGAGGTATCCAACTTAATCAACAATTTTCTACTTAGAACAAAAATGACGACAATTTTGTATTTTAATTTGCTTATTTTGTATTTCAATATCACTTTATATACAAACAAATTCTACTTTTTTTTTATTTTGTATTCATCATAATGGTATATCAACAAAGTCACATTTGTATTTCAATTGAAGTGAGTATTTATTGTCCTCATTTTGTATATCAATCTCAATTTTCAATGACAACAAGTTTGTATTTCTTTTTTATTATGTTTTCATCATAATTGTATACCAACAACTTTTATATTTTATGTGCTCACTTTACCATTCAAATTAAAATTGAATATCATATTGTGGTACGTATTTTACTGTGATCATTTTGTATTTAACTCTCACATTGTATTCAGAAAAGTTTGTATTTTTTTTTGTGTTCATCATAATGACATACCAACAAAGTCAATTTTGTATTTCAATTGATGTGAGTATTTATTGTGCTCATTTCGTATTTCAATCTCAATTTCAATGACAACAAGTCTGTATTTCTTTTTTATTATGTTTTCATCATAATTGTATATCAACAACTTTTGTATTTTATGTGCTCACTTTACCATTCAAATTAAAATTGGTATTTTACTTTCATAGTGAAAACTAAAAATTATATCCCAGTGATCAAAATAGTATTAAATAACTGCCAAATATATTTTTCTTTTATTCGTATTACAAAAATATTACTCATTGTATCACAATATAATCTAATCATTACATATTAATATGATTAAAGAAAGATACAAGATTTTGGAAAAACAATAGCATACATAATGACAATAATACAATCTGTTAAGGAATGATACAATATTCTAAAAAAAATACAAATTGACTGTGAAAGAAATATGATACATCTATGTTTAAGAAATACAAATCAATTTGACATACCTACTGGAATGACTACAAATTAAAAAAAATAATACAATGTTCTTAATAAAAATATAAATGTTGAGTAAAAGAAAAACAATTAACAAATAAAAATTAATATGAATACAATTTTGTAACCTTCTTCTCCATTCTCTCTTTCTTTGCAACCTTCTTCTCCGATTCTCTCTTTTTTTTCTTCTTCTTCTTCTTCGTCGTCTGATATATTTCTTTTTTTCGATTCTTTGTTCACAAAATCCAAATTTAAATCCGTATTCACTTGTGCATTAGTAAAACGTTGTCTCGTCATCCAAAAAGAAATATGCATGTTATTAGGATCACAATCTGCAAGCTTTGATTGTGACACATTTTTATACTATGTTTTGTGAATTTTTTTCTAATTATTATTATGTAAGTGTATATATTCTCTAGTAGTAAGATCTTAGTCTAAAAGGATTTGATTGGTTATTATTATCTCATGAATTTCGAAATACATGTTCGTGCTTAGTGATTATATACTTCTTGTTGAGTTTGTGTGATTCCACTAGGCATTATGATTTCTGAGTTTTAATATGCCTTAATTGCATAATTTTTCTTGGATCTTTCTTTATCCCTAAGTAGCTTTTGTATTGACATTGTCAAATGTGGTTGAATATGAAATTTCACATAATTTTAGAGGAGTTAGATCATTACGAAAGTCGGTTTTGGCTCTAAAATTTGATCCATTGAAGCCGTGGTTGGATATAAAAAATGCGATTTAATTGAATTCATTTTAACATAAATTGAGCATTATCAATGAAAATTTAAAAATCGATACTAGAAATTTGATGAACAAGTGGGATGAGTTCTCTGTAATTTTTTTTTGAATTTTTGTAACTGATGAGACTTTTAAGCAATTGTTCCTTTTTAAAAATTCTCTTCCCTAAATTTCTCCTTTCTGTTATTTAACAATTGTATTCTTTAAATTAAAACAAATAATAAAAACTTAAATAAGATACATAATAAACTAAAATTTTGATATTTTTATTAAATATTGAAAGTGTTGACAATGAGTCCTATTAAATATTAAAATATTGACATTTTGAAAAATTTCTCAAGAAATATATGTATAAAATTTCATCAAGAGCATAATATTATGAAATCTCTATCCTATCAATTTTAGGCATAATCATCTAAAAAAATTATTTATGTAAGTATCATTCTCTAGAGTTGTTTCCTTCATTTATTTTTTTAAAGGAAAAATCACTATAACATGCAAGATGACAACAATCACATATCCAATGGAACTCCACATGTGGGGCTTGAGAATATAGAATGTACGCAGACCTTAGAGGTAGAGAGACTGTTCCTGAAATATCAACGGCTCGAGTGTAGTAAACCCAAGTACAAAGTAGACGGAAATAATGTAGAAAACATAATAACTAACACGATGAATCAACACTAGTGCGATAATTGAAACGCAGTAAACTACTGACGAGGAGAGATATCAAAAGTAAGAGCTACAATAATACCAGGTGATAACATGTATAAAAAGCCAAAGACTATGTAAAAAGGCTAGTAATGCGATAACCCCTATTTACCTACTAACCGCCTATTATTATCTGCAACCTCTAAACATTCATGTCTAAGGTCATGTCTTGGTTAAGCTGAAGATGTGCCATATCCGATCTAATCATCTCTTTTTAATACTTATGTGGCTTACCTCTACCTCTCCCTAATCCCATATACAATCTCTCAAACCTCCTCATTGGGCCTCTGCGCATCGCCTCTTCACATATCTAAACCACCTCTGTTACCCCCCCCCCCCCATCTTGTCCACCATGGAGGACACTCCTACTTTATCCAAGATATCCACATTCCATCAATAATAAAAGAACATGATATGTAGAAAAAAAAAATACATTTAAAACAATAAAAAATAAATGTAACACTCGAGGCATACACTTTTATATTTAGGACTTACATTTTTACATCTTGGATTTACGTTTTTACGCTTGAGGATTACACATCAAGTTATAGGGCATAAGCCCTATGAATCTATATTTTTTATTTGCACTCGAGCAATTTTGGTTCGCCCCTCTTCAAGACTCACTCTAAAAATGTCTTGAAATAAATATTGCGGATCAGTCAGACAACTCACTACTCGACTTTAGTGATCCTAC